TCAGCGTTTGAAAGCTGAATTCGAAACCTCGAAGGATGAATATCTTTCCGTGATTCCCGAGTTAATAGTTTATCCGTCAAAAATCTCACGGGGCCGTTAGGTGGTAACCGAGAGCGCGAGATTGAATTTGAACGGGCAAGGTTGAGTGTGGGCAGGGGGTCATTATTCTTAAATTTCAGCTTCCTAGACTTCGAGGTTCCCGAGATATTAACTTACCCGTGACTTACCCGTGAAAATTTTCACGGGGCTGTACTTATTACCCGCGGGTAAGGGAAGGCTAAATTTGAATGGCAAGGTTGAGGGTGTGTGAAAGACTTTCACGGGGCCGCACGTGTTACCCGCGGGTAAGGGAAGGCTGAATTTGAATGGGTAAGGTTGAGAGTGGACAGGGGGTCATTGCCCTAAAACTTCAGCCTTCTAGACTTCGAGGTTCCCGAGATATTAACGTTACCCGTGACTTACCCGTGAAAAACTTTCACGGAGCCGTACTTGTTACCCGCGGGTAAGGGAAGGCTGAATTTGAATAGTATTGCCCTAAAACTTCAGCCTCCTAGATTCCGGGGTTCCCGAGATATTAACTTACCCGTGACTTACCCAGGCCGTACTTGACCGTACTTGTTACCCGCGGGTAAGGGAAGGCTGAATTTGAATGGGCAAGGTTGAGGGTGGACAGGGCTGCCTTAAAACTTCAGCCTCCTAAACTCCGAGGTTCCCGAGATATTAACTTACCCGTGACTTACCCGTCGTGCTACCCGCGGGTAAGAGAAGGCTGAATTTGAATGGGCAAGGTTGAGGGCGGGGGGGGTCATTGCCCTAAAACTTCAGCCTCCTAGACTCCGAGGTTCCCGAGATATTAACTTACCCGCAATACCCGTGAAAAACTTTCACGGGGCCGTACTTGTTACCCGCGGGTAAGGGAAGGCTGAATTTGAATAGTATTGCCCTAAAACTTCAGCCTCCTAGATTCCGGGGTTCCCGAGATATTAACTTACCCGTGACTTACTCGTGAAAAACTTTCACGGGGCCGTATGTGTTATCTCTGCGGGTAGGGGAAGGCTGATTTTGAATGGGCAAGGTTGAGCATGGGGAGTGGGTCATTATCCTAAAATTTCAGCCTCTTAGACTCCGTGGTTCCCGAGATATTTACTTACCCG